TCATTTCATCATCTGTAAAATGGGTAGACTGGATAATTTCTAAGACTCTTTCTGGCTTGGCCTCTCAGAGCCAAGCCCACACCCCTCCTCGGCAGGGCAGCAGCTGCAGCCGTAGCCTCCAGTGGCTGCCACAGTGGGCTCTGGGAGCCGAGTGACGCCATGCGAGGGGCGGGGTGCCAAGGATGAAGCTGGCACTGAACAGTAGCCCAGGCGGCTCCAGGCCTTCTCTGGGCCCAGGGCCCAGCCAGTTTCTGTTCTGTTCCTGTAGAACTCTCTTCTGGATTCTATAGCTGGAATCTCCTCTCCTAGCTCAGTGGAAAATAAAACTCCCAAATGCCGTGCCCATCTTCCCACATCCTACTGACGCCCAGGAGTCTTGGAGTTTACGGCCCTTCGAGCCTGCCTTGGAGGGGTGTCCTTTAGCTCCTCACCCGCAGCTTCATGGGACGGAGGGGACACCCAGTGCTAGGAGCGGGAGTGTTTTTCGTGGAAACCCTTCTGGCTCCATCCGTAAGATGCTCGAGTTCTATCCTCTCAGGGCCCTGGGCGTGGGTGGGTCTGGGGCCATGGGACATAGGTCTGGGCTTCGAGGCGGATGTGGCAGCCAGCAGGACGCTGATGTACAGGGGGCATTACTGAGACCACAGGGCTGTCTCTGGCACCTGTGCCTACACCCCCTGGCCTTGGAGATGGAAGATGTAACAAAAAGAAGGCAGAGCAACTGCATTCCAGCCCGGCACTGCTGTGCGACTGTGAGCACGTCCTTTCTTTCTCTGAGCCTGTTTTGCTTCCTGTAAAATGAAGAGTTCCACAACCCCCCACACTGAATAATAATAATGATGTTTCAAAGGGTGACCATATATAAAGCTCTTGGCATGTGTGTGACAGACCATATCAATAAATGGTGACTCATTCTTTAAGAAAATGAAGAGCCCACATCTCATCCAGCTTACCTGTGGCAGGGGGGTTTGTCCAGGAAACCAGCCAGGAAGTTCCCAAGCAGGTCATCCCGTGGCCTGGACAGGAAAAAGGTGCTACAGGCCGGCCCCGGGTGCCCCCCTTGGGGTCTGGGTCCCTGGCCTGCTGCCAAGGCACTGGCCTGAGGGGAGTCCAGCCAGGACTTGCAGGCAGGAACGGACATCTGAGCGTTTGGTCGCGAGGGCAACGTTTCCATGAGGTCTTCTCTGCAAAATAAGAGCAAGGAACATAAACCTGTTTGGTAGGTAATGTGGGGTGGGGCGGGGAGAGGGCAGGGAGGGACACAGGCCCAGGACTGGGGTGTGCTGCCTGGGCTGTCACACTTGGCTGCACTCTCCTGAGCATCCAGGGAAGGGGCCTGGCCTCAGAGCTGTCCCCCGGCTGCCTCCTGCCCTTCTCAGAGCTGGAGGAGACCCGGCCAAGCCCCAGGCTGAGGGCGTGGGGGCATGGGCTGCCTGGCGCGGCAGCAGGGCCCACGTCAGCACTCCGCCCTCCGGGGCCTTCTGCCTAATGGGATTGGACAGACCCCTTCTCCTTCAGCGCCTTGCAGAGCAGAGAGGGAGAGGCAGGGAGGCAGCACTCACTGAACCCTGTCACAGAAGGGTGGCTGGGGCCTGGAGTCAGGCACTGGGGAGGGCTGAGCCCCCATACCCGCTCCCCTCTCAGCCGGAGAACGGAACTCCAAGAAGCCCTGACCGTCTGCACTGTCCCTGGAATGAGGTGGAGGTGGCTCTGGGGCAGGAGCCCGTTCCAGACCCAGGCAGAGATGGGCTGGGGGCTCCTAGCTCGTTGGCCTCCCCTCTTCCTCGCTCTGTCCATCAGTCTGTGGCCCTCTCATCTGTGTCCCCTTACCCTCTGCCTCTACCTGGCTCAGGACCTGTCCTGCACCACGCCCTCAGCGGGGGCGGGCCTGTCCACCTGGAGCCCCTCTTGTGCGCCTGCCCCCACTGCCAGCCCCCAGGCCCCATCTATGCCACTCCTCCTGTCCTGCTCTCCTCTCTGGACAATCACGTGCTCCATGACTGGCCCACCCACCTAGTATGATAGGAAGGCCACAAAGCCACCGGCACCCAAACTTCCCTTTTTACAGGGCCGACAACCCCAGCATTTGTGCGCCATTGTTTGGACTCTGGTGTTCCGGGCCCCTCCTTCCTCCCTCCCTCCCTCCTGTTCTTTTGCTCCCTCCTTCTTGTTTTTTGTTTTTTTTGAGACAGAGTCTCACTCTTTTTGCCCAGGCTAGAGTGCCGTGGCGTCAGCCTCGCTCACAGCAACCTCAAACTCCTGGGCTCAAGCAATCCTCCTGCCTCAGCCTCTTGAGTAGCTGGGACTACAGGCATGCGCCACCATGCCTGGCTAATTTTTTTCTATATATATTTTAGTAGAGATGCTCAGGCTGGTTTCGAACTCCTGACCTTGAGTGATCCTCCCGCTTCGGCCTCCCAGAGAGCCAGGATTACAGGCGTGAGCCACCGCACCCAGCCCCCTCCCTCCTTCTTTCTTCTTTCCCTTGAGGGCAGTCTGAGGATACAGGAAGTACCAACCCACACTCCTGCTGGGCTGGGGCAGGAGAGCTGGCTGGCCTGTTCGCCACCCCGCTTGCTCTCAGGGCTCTGGCTCCCCAGTACAAGGATTTCAGGGAGCCCCTGTCCAGGGAGCCTGCAGCGCCTTCTCCTGCCTCCCCCGACCCAGACAGCTCAGGCCCAGTTCCCAGCGGGAAGAGAAGTGTAGAGAGAACAAGTGACTGTCCTGAGGCCAGCTGGTCCCCAGGGAGGAGTTTGGGGGGGTGACCGGGGCTGGGAGCACAGAGGATCTCCCTTTCCCTGAATAGCCAGATGGTTCCTCCTCAGACCCTGGAGGCCCCAGGCAGGCACTGGGGACATCTGGGGCATGTTCCTTTGCCGAGCCGAGCGGCTGACAGGCCTGTTGACCCAGCTGCTGCCCAGCCCTGTGAGGTGGAGCTTCTGTCATGTCGCTGCAGACCTGAGGCTGGGCTGGGGTGGGAGCCACAGAGCCCACTGCTGGGCAGAGCTGTGCCCAGACCGCGTGAGGCTTGGGGAGGGCAGGGGAGCCAGGGCGGCCGCCCGGGGCCAGAGGCAGCAGTGTTCTTGAGGCTGCTCAGCCTCACTCAGCAAGAGCTGTGCCTTTGTGTGCGTGGTGGTGAGCGTGTCCCTCTGGGACCCGCAGGGTCTGTGAGCTTGTACCTGGCTTCCCCCATTCCTGTGTGTCTTTGGGATTTCGAATGCATAGGTGTGGGTGTGAGCTACGCTGGGGCCAGTGGTCACGGATGTGCCCCTTCCCTCCTCAGTGTTGGTCCATCTCCCTCTCAGGGAAGTTGGGGACAGCAACCTGGCCTCTGGGGACAAGAGCCCTTCCAGATGACCTCCTGCAGGAACGAAATTCTATGTCCTTTCCTGTATCCCTAGTAGGCTGAAGAAGGGGCAGACTGGGCCCAGGAACAGCTGGGTCCCCCAGTCTGCTCCAGAGGCCATCTGCTTCTCCCAGGGCTGGCGCCATGGGCGACAGAGAGGCCCAGGCCCGGGTGCTCCCCCAGCGTGGCGCAGTGCTACTGAGTGGGGGTGGGATGACAGGGCAGGGGGTGCCCCTGAGCGTTGCTGGGGGAATCTACCCTGCTCTCGATACTTTTAAAGTGTTGAAGGTGAGAGGCAGAAACAACTCTCGCTTCTAAGAGGAAAAATATATTTTTTGAAAAGCGGATTTGCACGTTTCCCACAGGCCACTGCGGTCAGGAGAAAGCCCTGTGCTGACAGCCCCTCCTCCTGCGCCCCGCCTCCCACTGGGCAGCTCCCACCAGAATGCTCTGCCCAGGGAGGGGCCCTTCCCAGGGGCTCCCCCACAAGCCTGTCACCCCTCGGGCCGCGCTTCGCCACGCCCACACGTGTGAGAATGTCAGGCCCCGTGTTCTGCGCGGCCAGTGCAGCTCCCACAAACAAACAATCGGGTCTGTGGGCCAACACTCTCTCCTGTCGCCCTGCACTTCAATTGTCTTCCACCTTCTAACTTCCACCCCCAGCTGCACCCTTTCATTCCTCTTTTCTTCCCCTCACTTCCTGCGTGGGGGCTTCCTTGTCCGGCCCATTTCCAGATAATCTGAAGTGCGTTTCTCTCCCTAGATCTGACAGTAACGTTTTATTGTATTCTTACTGTATGCCAGGCTCACTGCAGATTCACCTGGGGTGCTCACCCTCACGTTCACGTTACCGAGAAAGACGCTGCTCAACCGGCCAAGCAGCAGAGCCAGGGTCTCAGCGGCTGCCCGCTGGGCTCCCACCCGATGCTGCTCCCAACGGCCAGGCCTGGGCTTCGGGGAGATTAGTTTCTTCCAGGTCTGTTCCCCTCCTGGCATCGGAAGTCCTCTGATGCACCCTGGTGGTCCCGGAAAGTCTAAGAACCTGCTCCCTAGCTGGCTGCCTGGGGATGTGCTCCCCTCCTTTAAGTCCCCAGGGATGCTCCCAACAGGTGCTGGCCAGACTGACACCTGGGAGGGATGTGGGGACAGGGGAGGGAGACCAGGGCAGAGCCTGCCAGAAATGACCCCAGCTTGGGGGTCGCTGGGGTTGGGTATAAGCATGACACCCCAAATGATGCCCTCTTCCCCCGTTAGGCTCAGTGCTCACTCTCTGGCCCGGGGTAAGGGGGTGGGAGGCCAGGGCACCCTGTTTGGGGCAGAGCATTTTAGACTGCACTCCTGCCTTTCCTGGCTCTCAGGCCTGTGCTCCCCTCCCCAAGCCCCCTGGGTGGTGGCGGAATGGCTCCTGGGCAGCCTGACTCTCCGGTCCGGTCGGAGGGCCGAGGGCAGGAGGCAGATGTAGCCATGGCCCTCCAGCACCACACCCCCTCCCGCCCCCAGCCTTACCTGGGGCTCCCCAGCCTTTGCTGTGGCCCCTCCCGCCCAGCCTGTGAAAAGCAGCTACCTTTCTGTTTTTCCGAGGACAGGAAGAGATGAACAAGTAGAGAAAATAATTTAATAGAGAAACAATGAATGACACTCATCACACACAGCCTCCTTGTAGGGAGGCATTTAAGGACAGAAGGGTTAGAAATCACCAACACCCTCTCTGATTATTGGAAAGACACCCTCAAGTAACTGCAGGCGTGTGCATTCTCCTCCAGGTTCAATTCGCTCTGTCCTCTGAAGCGCCCTGCTGTGGGCTGTGGGCTACAGCAGCCCCCACGCAGAGACGGGAGGCCCAGGCCCAGAAAGGGGAAGGGGCTTGCCCAGGATCACACACTGGGGTGGTGACAGTGTCAGGCCTAGAACTGGGTATCCTGGACTGGGGCCCCTGCAGCCTGATGGCAGTCCCCAAGCCTCCCCTCCCGGGCCCAACTCCAGCACAAGGCCGCTCTTCAGCTAGGTCCGTGTGTTCCCAGAGAGGGATGGAGGTGGGAGGGATGAGGACTGAGGACCCCTCCCCTGTATTCCCCAGGCCAGGGCAGGAACAAGGCTGGGCTTCCCAAATTTGCCCTACCCCTAGAAAGGGTATTCCGGTCATGCTTGAAGGATTAAGTTAGAGTACTGAGATGGTGGGCAGATGTGAGCTCGCAGAAGACTGGCGAGTTCTGTGGGGCTGGGTACATACTGTGAGCTGGGTGGTCCCTGAGGAGTCTTGGAATGTCCCATTCCAGTGCAAGGAGGGAGGTGAGTTGGAATAAGGGCTCCTAGAAAGGGTTGGGCCCAGGGCCCGGGTGCCTGCTGGCCGGGAGAGGGCAAGAGCAGGCGTGCCCTGCAGGGGCCCTTGCCCTCTTCTCAGAGCAAAAAGTGATAGACGGCTTCATGCCCGCAATCAACAGGCACGGGACCAGCAACCACCAAGGAAGGAAGGCCTCATGAAACACTGTTCTCCCAGAGTCCTGCCCCTGGCCCTGGGGCCAGGCCCAGGGCTCCCAGCACATGGCATGGGCGGTCAGTCCCTCTGTGAGGCGCACAGTAACCCGAGGGAGGCTGGGGACTCGGGACGTGGGGGTCCCAGAGCTGTCCATCCAGGAAGCCTGCTCCCCAGGGTTGCAGAGGGCCACTTAATTTGGGGCATCAGCCTGGGTTGGTCACCCCTCCACTCCAGGTGGCTCGTGGTCTGTCCTGCTGTCCTCTGGGGTCACTGGAGGGTACACGCTACGGAGGGGTAAGGGAGGGTCAGTCACAGGTCTGGCAGGAAAGCAGAATCCAGGGTTGCCCCAGCTCTCACCCTCCCCTGGATGGGGGTCAGACCCAGGGCAGAACTCACAGCTACGAACAGACTCTGACAGCCCCTCTCTGTCCATGGTCTCTGCCTCCCAGCGAGACTCCCGCATCTGTGGGACGTCAAGACGGCACAAGGGGTGAGGCAGCCAGACAGACACAGGGACAGAGAGGCCTTCAGACGGAGGCGGGGGCATACAGCTACGCACGGAGAGGGGCAGAACCCCTAGCCCCAACAGGCCCCCACAGCCCACCTTGACCTGCTCCTTCAGGCATTCAGCCCGGGCCATGAGGCTCTGCACCTGCCAGGGGAAGACATGCCCCTGGGTGTGTGTGGGCTTCCAGCCCAACTCCTCACACCCCGTGCTCCCCTGAACCCCCTGCCCCATCAGAACCACGTCCCCTCTGAGTCGCTCGCCTGCTCCTTCCGCCAGGAAGCTCTCCCGACTGCAGCAGCCCAGCAGACTCTCTGCTGGGTCCCCCGATCCTCCGCGGCCCTGATCTGAGCACCCTGGCCCTAACGGTCTCACTCCTAGACCTGGCACACCCTGAGAGTAGGGGATTCCAGAGGGAAGCCAAGGAGGTCCCCCCAGACCAAGCAGAGTAAAAGGGGAAGAGGAAGCCCCCCAACCCTCTCATCCCCAGTGGGCACCTCGGTATGAAGCAGCTCCCGCCTCCGACCTGAGGGCTCCGCTGAAAAGAGAGGGTGTGCGGTGAGGGCGGGGCAGCTGAGGGCCCCGCGGGCTGTGGGGAGGGGCTCACCTGCCAGCAGCAGCAGCAGCTCCCCCAGGCTGTGCTGGTATAGGTCCAGGGCGTCCTGCTCCCCACCAGCTTCCTCCTCCTGCAGCCACAGGGACACCAGGTCATTCAGGGTCCTGGCCTGAACCCCTCCCTGCCCCACCAGGACCCCTCCCACTGGCACCAACCTTGGCCATGGCAGCCGAAGCCACTTCCAGGGCAGCTGAGAGGCGTGGCTTGTCCCGGGCCATCTCTGAGATGAGGGGCACATGCTCAGGGGAGGGAGGCAGCCCGTTCTGTCCTCACAGGAGGCCTGGCCCAACCTGCCTCCGCGTCAGGGGGGAGGGAGGTTTCCTGGGGGCCTGGTGGGCCGGCCAGGAGCCGGAGCCTACCTCTGAGCAGGTCTCGCGCAGAGGTCCCCTGCCTGAGCAGGGCCCGATTGGAGGAGGAGACGATGGCCTTGAGCTCCTCAGCCCGGGACACATACTGCCCCACCTACGGGAGGGAAAGGGCCTGAGGACGGGGTGTCCCACCCGCCTCCCCCACCAGCACCCACTGCCAAGTTCTCCCTCTGGGTCCTCCGTGACCGCCCCAAGCTGTAACCACGTCCGGGGTCAAATGAGGCTGGCCTGCCACCTTCCCAGCTCTATGCGTGTTTCAGGACAGGAAGCTCCAATTCTGGGAGAGCCCTCCCCTCACGCATGTCCTTATGGGGACTTGATCCACCCACCTTTGCCTTAATCGCCTCCTTCCGCTGGGCATCCACTTCATCTGCAGAAGGTGGGGTTTACATGAGAAATCTGGGGGACCCCTGCCCCACCCAAGCCCTCCGGAATCCCCCGAAACACCAAGTTCCAGGTTTATGCTGCTTTGTCTTCTGCAAAACTCTGGATGGGGAGCTCCCAGACTCCATCCACCGCAGCTACAGGTGACCCGCCTGTGCTTCAGGGGCTCCAGGCACTGCCTGGGACTCACAGTGCAGGGCGGGCACGAAGAAGTCCAGAGCCTTGCAGTAGAGGGACAAAGCGGCCGCCGCGTCCCCCTCCTGGTCCTTCTTCACAGCCTGCACCACCAGGGCGGTCTGGGGACCAGGCAGACCAGGAGTCAGGCCACCTCCCTAGCTCCCCCGGCCAGAGAAAGGTCAGCTGCCCTGAGCCCATCCTCTGCATCTGCTGGGTGAGTCACCCATCACCACCAAAGGGGGCAGATGAGACCCCCAGCCCAGCCCACCCCATCTCCACCGCTCTGCTCACTGCTTGTGCCAGGCTCTCCCCACTGGGCATGTGCTCCAGATCCACCCAGGGGTGGGCAAAGAAGTCCTCGAAGGAGATGCGACGGCTGGGGTCCCGCTCCAGGAGCCGCTGCAGCAGGTCCCGGCAGTCTTGGGACAGCAAGGGCCGCAGGGGGAGCTGCGTGAGGGGCAGGGGACAGCCAGGGGGAGGGGTGACAGGTCACACTGGGCTCCAGCGCCACGACCCCCAGCCCAGGGTTCTGTCGGAAAGCCCAGAGATATGTATCTAACGGGGAGAATGTGCAGCCCAGGAGGAACAGGGTGGGTGCAGGTGTGGGTGCCAGCGGCGAGCCAGGCCCCTTCCCCAGGCGCCTGCCGCGCTCGCTGGGCTCGGCTGCTGGAGAACCTGTGCAGGGTCCCGATCCCCCTCCCTGGACCGCGCCCCTGCCAAGGCTGAGCTTGGTTCTGCCTTGCTCTTCTCCCGCAGGGCCTGCCAAGCAGTCTGTGGGGCAGGCCCTTTGCTGCCTGTCGTGGGCTGACCCGAGTCCCTGGGACTTGTGGTCCAGAGCATACCCCACTGCCGTGAAGGCAGTCTGGCGCCCACACTCCGGTCTGCGCAGGCGCAGTGTGTCTGAAACCTCGGGCCCTGGCTCCCTCCGTCCCCCCACGGTCGCGAGGCCCTGCCAGACCCACCTCGACGACCCGGCTGCTGCGGATCTTCTCCTCCAGCTCTGAGAAGGACCTGGAGGCAAAGGGGGGCTGCCCGAAGAGGGCTTCTGTGGAAGGGAGGCAGAGGGGAGGCTGGGAGGGGATGGGGCCAACCTGGCCTGGCCCGCTCTTGGGGAGGGGGCCTGACATCCCTCAGAGCCAGTAGAGTCAGAGTTCTCACTAGAACCCTCCAGGAGTGGCCCAGAGAAGCCCTGCCTGAGGACACACAGGGCAGGCCTCGGGGTGAGGGCAGGGAAAAGAGGTCTCACCATATAAGATGACCCCCACGGACCAGAGGTCCACGCGGGCGTCGTACTGTCGCTGACACACCATCTCGGGGGCCATGTAGAGAGGGGAGCCACGGAGCACGTGCTTCTCATCCCATGGGGACATGTGCTGGGCAAAGCCAAAGTCTGCAGGCAAGAGACCGGACAGCGGGGTTCAGATTTTAGCTGCTTCCGCTCCTGGCCTGTGACGTCTGGGTCTGGGCTCCTCCCCACCCCCAGACACACCAGGGTCAACCCTGCTTCCTAGTCTGTGCTCATTATCAGCCTGGAACACCCTCCTATGTCTCCCTCTGCGGCTGTAAACCCTACCCATCCTGCGCAGCTCCCTTGGGCATGTTTTCCCCAGGAAGCCCACCCGATCCTACCAGCTATGTGGACAAGAGCCCCCACCTTCTCACTGCCGCCCAGGCTTAGGTTATACCACGTTCTCTGGCCTCCAGCATCAAGCTCAAATCTTATCAGGGGTCGGCAACCAACACCTCCCCCATCGCACACCCCCCTGTGCTGCCACAGACAGAGTCACAGTAGAGCCCCAATCCTGATGACTGACCAAGTCTTGTCCCTGCTCACAGACTGATTTGTGATGTTGGTCCACAATGAACCCTGGCACCGTTCCCAGATTGAGCCCAAAACCTGAACACACAGTACCAACTTTGGCCACAGACTGAGCCCTAACTCTACCCATTAGGCTGCTGGACTTGAGAGTGGATGGCCTGAGAAAGCTCCTACCTTTCAGTGACAGGGCCCATTCCCAGATCTCCCAGGCTATGTTTGATGACTCAACAGAGAACTCCCTGAGAACCCGGGCTGCTGAGCGAGGCCAGGAAGAGGGAGGCCCCTGCACACCCACTCTCCAAACCTCACCCCTGCTGTTCCAGACTCACACCTGCCAGTTTCAGGTGGGGCTTCTCCAAGGAGCTCAGCAGAATGTTCTGTGGCTTCAGATCCAGGTGAGAGATATTCCGTTCATGCAGAAACTGCAGGGCACTGGCTGGGGAGCAGGACCCATGCAGAAACAGAGGTCAGAAGAGTCCCGTCTCCGCCTGCCTCTCGCCTCCCCAGGCCTCCATCTGCCTCTTCCAGCCTGTCCAACCCCAGTTCCAGCCTAGCTGGTCCATGGAATGCTTTACATATAAGCACCAGGCTCTGCCACTTTGAAGAGTTTGCCACCCTGCCCAGAGCGTCCACCTTCCTCCCCTCTGCCCCTTCACAAGTCTCCGCTCCGCCAGAAGCTTCCCTGGATGCCCAAGCCCTTTAGGATCTTGCTCTTTTCATTAGCACTGCACTGGGTCCTACCCACTTGGCCCTGGAATGCTCCACAAGGTCCTTACATTACGTTCCACACCATGGAAACCTGAACTCTGCACAGGTGGGGCTCCTCCCTCCTCTCTCTCATGGCATCCTTAGCTAAGGACAGCCACACAAGAAAGACACAGCCCTAAAAGCCCAAGGAGGCAACTGCAAAGTGTGCCAAGGCTCTAAGCCTGCGCAGAGAACATGGGAAGGTGTCGGGCTGGGGTCAGAGGATTTTACCCAATTGCTGCATGAAGACACGAGCCACCTTCTCAGGCAGAATCCTGCGGGTATGGATGAAGCGAGACAGGTCGCCCCCTGCACAGAACTCCATGATGAGGTAGATGTTGTCGCTGTCCCACTGTGGTTAGAGGTAGACAGCCTGAGGAGAGTGTCCCTCCTCCAGCCTCCTGTGGGAGCAGCCCCACCCCGGCCCGCACCTGGAAGTCCTTCAGCTGCACAATGTGGGGGTGTCGAATGCCCTTCAGGATCTCGATCTCGGTCAGGAGGTTTTCCACCGATGCCTTGTTCAGACTTTTCTTGGCCACACACTTTATGGCTACTACCTCACGAGTATCCTTCTGGGGGGACAGGATTTGGGGGCTCTGCCTTGAGAGGGCCAGGGCCCACGCCTGGCTGGAAGAGTTCGGGTTCTCTCTACCCGCTGCCTCCTCCCTGGGCCTGCCCACCCCACGCCAGCGCCCAGGCTTCCCAGGTTCCCTTCGCAGCCCAGTGAGGCACCTGCATTCTGGAATCCTGGCTTCCCAGCCTGGATTCTCCAACCCTCTGCCACACAGCCCGCTTCGCTGCGTTCTAGAGTGCCCCGCAGAGGCATGTCACCTCATCGTTCTAGAACTGCCCACCCTGCCTCCTAACTGGGTCCCGCCTTCTAGAGCCCTGTCCCAGTCTCCTCCCAGCCCACCTGGTGGCCTCCGTTTCGAGCCTGTTCTTTACCCACTGACACCAAGGCCCCATCCACCCTGCAGACAAAACAGGTGTGCGTAGGTGTGTCTGCTTTCAAGATCTAAGAGAGGCGGTCAGCTCCTCCACCGAGAGTCAGACCGGGCGAGGCGGGCGGCCGGGCCCCAGCTGCTCCCGCCGTCCCCAGCCGTCTTCGTCGCGCTAGCCGGCACCCACATGGGCTTGCTGGGGCTGGCGGGCGCCCACACCCACCTTGGCGTAGGCCTTGTACACCGTGGCGTACGTGCCGCTGCCCAGGCGCTCGGTGAGGATGAAGCCGTCCACGCGCGGCGGCCCCCACGCCGCTCCCGCCATGCCGGCCGCCCCGCGCCGTGCAGGCGCTTCCTGGTCGCCGGCGCGCGTCCGGGCCGCGGGCGCAGGAGGGACCCGGGCCGCTCTCCGCTCTCCGCGCCGCCCCCAGCGCCGCCCGCCGGAAGTGCAGCGCCGCGCGGGAGGCCGGCGGGGCGCGACTCCGCCCACTCCGGGGCTCCTCCCCGGCACGACATCACGCTAACCACCCGTCCCTCCTTGCAAGCCCGCATCTGAGGACGCTGAGGCCCCCGCGGACCGAGCGGAGGCGACCGAGGACAACAGGCGCAGACACGCCCAGAGATCGCCCACGCGGGGTGGGGGTGGGGGGTGGAGGGGGAATCATGGAGGCCCCCCGGAGTCCCTCCCCAAGACCAGCCACTCTAAAAGTAGAGGCACTGGGACAAGAAAGTGCCTTTGGAAAGTAGCCTTCCCCGAGGCTCCTGGCTCCAAACTCCCTTTCACTCTTCTGAGCTAGGGGCTTGACGACCTGTCACAGACCGGCCAGTAAGCATCTTAATGTCCCCTCTCACCTCTCCTACGCGCGCCTCGGCCCCTAACACTACGGGCCACCCAGTCCTCCCAAGTCCACCAGACATTAGAACCAATGGTGTCTGAAAATGTATTATTTTTTATTTAAGCACAAAAATTGAGACATGACATATACATTTGTACATGGAGAAAAAATACCAGAAAGGAGTTTACAAAATCCTGGTGGCTGCCCTTATCCAGGGGTCTGGGCCTGCCCCAGCTGGTAGACAACCTGAGGGCTGCCTCAGGGTGGGCCCAGGGCCCAGAGGCGGGGGTGGCCAGCTTTGTGAGAACTCCTGCAGCCTCTGGAGGACAAAGTGCAGGTTCTGCGGGTGGACTCCTAGGTGCATGTCACAGTGACACACCTCCTGGGGACTCCCCAGGGTGAGTGGAAGGGGACCTAGACTCGGCATGGGGGAACCCTCCGCAAGGTGGCCCATCAGCCCGCAAACCTGCATCAAGGATGCAGCTCTGGACTGACTCCCGCTGCCCTCCCCAGTCACACAAGCTGGATACTGCTGGGGGTGGGGGCAGACTGAGGCCAAGGCAGAGGGCAGCGGACCCTCAGTAGGAGAGGAAGTCAAAACAAACCGCGCCAGGACAGTCAGACCCCACCCTCCTGGACGACTGCCAGCAGCTGGGCAGGACAACTTAGGGTCAGTGTCCTCCTGTCCCTCCCCATCCCCAAACCCCAACCAACCACATTGCACATTCAGAAAGTCTGAAGAGAGCGGGGCTCAGGGAGGGCCCCAGAGGACACCAGGTGCTGCCCACGCCAGGAGGGTACAGGGGCCTAAAGGGCTGTGAATCTGTCAATGAGGAACATGAGGCAGGGGGAGCCTGGGCTCTGGAAGCCTGGAGACCCCAGAGAGATCCGGGGAACAGAGCCGTCCACCCACCCAGACTGGAGCTCGCCTGAAGTGGAGTGCGTGGGAGGGTTGTCCCAGCCCGGGCAGGAAGGGCAGGGCTGCGGAGCCAGATCCCCGCCAGACCTGCTGGGGGAGGAGTGGAGTCTCAAGACCCTGGCAGAAAACTCCAGCTGGGGTGACCCACGGTCAGCCAGCGATCCCAAGTGTGTAGGGTGTCTGTGTGTACAGGGGAAGAGAACTTCAGTCCCATTGCTTCTGGCGAGACAGAATCCTACCGAACCACCACTAGAGAAGGAAAGACAATTTTGGTCTTTTTTTCTCCTGTGTAAAAAAAGTCCCGGTCCCTCCCTTCCCTTCCAGGGAGAGCTGGTTGCTGAGGAAGGAGGAAGAGCCACAGCAGGACCTTCACCAGGTCTGTGCTGGGCAAAACCACTGCGTAAGGCACCCACGGAAAGTGCAGCTCAGAAGGCAGGTGAGAGAATAGGCGAAGGTAGAGGCAAGAGAGTGAGGAGGATTAATTCCCCTGGAAGGCTCCTCGGGCCGCAGATGAGGCCGCGCTGCGGAAGGTTCTGTTGTTGAAGATGCCCTGGGAAAACTCCTCCTGGGCCTGCTGGAAGCTGGCCCCCGTCCGGCGGTATAGGGAGTGCACCTGGGGAAGGAAGGGAGGTGAGAGGAGCCCACCCTCTGGGCCACCAGGAACCCTGCCATCCAGGTTATACTCTCAGAGGGGTCACCAGGAGCCCAACACTGCCTGACCCCACCCCCCCAGAGCCTTGGGGAAAGGTGCTGCCTCTTTGGGGGCCCAGGAGGCCCAATTGTGGTGGTGAAACATCTCGTGGCAAAAGCAGGAGACAGGTGCTTGCTTCCTCAGGTCTGCTGTCGCCCAGCCCCCACCACTCACCCGCTTCAGGAGGAAGAGTGAGAGCACGGCACAGAGGGTAAAGAAGCCGGCCACCACCATCATGATGATTGACACGGCCAAGGACTCTTCCTTCAGTGTGGACAGGGCTGCAATCCAACCACTACAAAGGGAAGAAGCCAGAGGGGGCAAAGTGGGAGTGGGTCCCCCAGGAGTCCCCATGAGGGGCTCTTCTCCAAGTGGCTGCTGTGTCCCGACCACCACCTCAGCATCTCTGCAGCACAGGGAGCCCTGGGGGCCAAAGCTCTTGACCTGTGAGAGGCCAGGCCTCCGTGACGGCTCCCAGACCCACAGTGCCCCAGCTTGTCCTGCCCCAGGGCCTCAGAGATAGATTCACATGGGGAAGCTTCTGGCTGTCTGAGGTCTAGAGGGAGGATGTGGTTGCTGCCTATACCGAATCAGGAGGAACACTGGGTGGGCCTTTTCCTGCTGCTTTGGGGTTGGGGGCATGGAAAGCTGGCTGCTCACTCCTAAGCACCTGCCCTCCAGGAAGGAAGACCACTGGTCAACCTCTTGCATTCGTGCTGTCACCTCAGCTCCTCCCACCAGGGCCCAGGCATGTTACCTCCCTGACGACCCTTAGTGTCCTCATCTGTAAAGGAATATCCTCACATTTCCTGATTTCAACTTACCACAAACCTACAATAATCAAAGCAGCGTGTGGCCGGGCGCGGTGGCTCACGCCTGTAATCCTAGCACTCTGGGAGGCAGAGGCGGGCAGATGTTTAGTAGAGACCCTGTCTCTACTAAAAAAAATAGAAAGAAATTTGGCCGGGCGTGGTGGCTCACGCCTGTAATCCTAGCTCTCTGGGAGGCCGAGGCGGGCGGATTGTTTGAGCTCAGGAGTTCGAAACCAGCCTGAGCAAGAGCGAGACCCCGTCTCTACTAAAATTAGAAAGAAATTAATTGAACAACTAAAAAGATATAGAAAAAATTAGCCGGGCATGGTGGCGCATGCCTGTAGTCCCAGCTACTCGGGAGGCTGAGGCAGGAGGATTGCTTGAGCCCAGGAGTTTGAGGTTGCTGTGAGCTAGGCTGACGCCACGGCACTCTAGCCCGGGCAACACAGTGAGACTCTGTCTCAAAAAAAAAAAAAAAAAATAGAAAGAAATTAGCTGGACAACTAAAAATATATATAGAAAAAATTAGCCGGGCATGGTGGCGCACGCCTGTAGTCCCAGCTGCTCAGGAGGCTGAAGCAGGAGGATCGCTTGAGCCCAGGAGTTTGAGGTTGCTGTGAGCTAGGCTGATACCACAGCACTCTAGCCCGGGCAACAGAGTGAGACTCTGTCTCAAAAAATTTAAAAAGAAAAAAAAAAGCAGTGTGGGACCAGCATAAGGACAAACATAGATCAATGGATCGATGGATCAATGGAATAGAATTCAGAGTCCAGAAATAAACCCATACATCTGTGATCAATTAATTTTTGACAAGAGTGCCAAAACCGTTCAAAAGAGAAAGAATAGTCTCTTCAACAAATGGTACTAGAACAACTGGATATCCACATGCAGATAAATGAAGTTAAATCCTTACTTCAACCATATACAAAAATTAACTCGAAATGGATCAAAGACTATTTCTCCAAAGAAGATATGCAAATGACCAACATCATTAGACATTCAGGAAATGCAAATCGAAATTATAATGAAATGCAATGAAATACCACATCTCTAGTTGGCTATAATTTTTTTTAAAAAAGGGAAAAAAGGAAAATAACAAATGTTAGTACTATGATTATGTCCTCCAAAAAGCACGTGTGAATGCCATGGTTTGTATGTGTCCCCCCAAAACAACGTGTTGGAAATGTAATTCCTAATCTAACAGTGTTGGGAAGAGGGGCCTAACTGGAGGTATTTAGGTCATCAGGGCTCCACCCTCAGTTATAAGAGGGGTGGGGCTTCAAGTTCAATCTCTCGTTCTCTCTCACCATGTAATGCCTTCCACCATGTTACGATGTAGCAAGACAGCCCTCCATAGACGCAGCCTCTCAGTCTTGGACTTCCCAGTCTCCAGAACCATCAACCAAATAAACTTCTGTTGTTCATAAATTACCCAGTCGGGTGTATTCTGTTATAGCAGCAGAAAATGGACTAAGACAGTTGGTGAGGATGTGGAGAAACTAGAACCCCCATATATTGCTGGTGGGAATGTAAATTGGTTCAGCCACTGTGGGAAATAGTTTGGTGGTTCCTAAGTTAAATAGGCCAGGCACAGTGGCTCACGCCTCTAATCCTAGCACTCTGGGAGGCCGAGGCGGGAGGATCACTTGAGGTCAGGAGTTCAAGACCAGCCTGAGCAAGTGTGAGACCCCATCTCTATGAAAAGTAGAAAAATTGGCTGGGTGTAGTGGCATGTGCCTGTAGTCCCAGCTTGAGCCCAGAAGTTGGAGGTTGCAGTGA